ATTTGAGATAGGATCTTGCTAAGTTGATAAAATGCCCAGGATGGGCTCAAACTTGTGACCTTCCTGCTTCAGCCTTCCCAGAGTACTGGGATTGCAGGTGTGTGTCACCATGCCCAGCTAAGAGGGACATTAAGTTTTATATACGCAGGGTTGGGGATATAGCCTGGTAGTACAAGACTTGCCTAGAGTCTTTGAAGCCCTGGGTTTGAGCCTCAGGACTGCCTCCTACCCAAGGAATGATTACATACTAAACAGTAAAAGAAAAACCTTTTTTGAGGGCCTGGGGATTGGGTCAAGGGCCTTGCATATACTATACTTTCAAACCCAGGGAAAAAGAAAATAATCATCTTTAGCGCTGGATCAGCGTGTTACAAAAGGGCACCAAGGTTAACTGGTAGGTAGTGGTGAAGCAGGTTCTTTCTTTTCTTCCTTTGCTTGCTTCCTCCCTCCCTCTCTCTTTTTTTTTTTTCTGAGACCGGTTCTCACTATGTTGCCCATACTGGCCTTGATCTTGTGGTCATCCTCATGCCTCAGCCTCCCAGGCGCTGGGATTACAACTGTGCCACCATGACCAGCTCTGGTAGGTTCTTTCTTTCTTTTTTGTTTTTTTGCAGAACCAGGGATGGAACTCAGGCCCTTGCGCTTGCCAGGGAAGTGCTTATTCCACTGAGCCATCTCCCCAGCCCCGCCTCTGGTAGGTTCTTGAGACACTTCCACCTCTAACATGCTGCACCAGTGCAGTCACATGTTAGGGCAAAAATAGCACCAGAAGAGCAGAAGAGGAAGGAAATGGGGCATTACATTTCTGATTAGATCTGGAAAGGTTTTAAATTCCAAACTACAGGGTGCATTTTAAATAGTAAATACTGGGAGGAGCTGCAGGACTCAAGCTGTGCAGTATTCCAGGGTAAACTGGAGTTTGGAAAAGGTTCAAAGGGCTAAGAGCTTGTTCTGGGAGGGAGGCCTTCAGGGCTACAAAGAATCAAACCGTAAGCAAAGGAGACTTCCAAACCACAATGCTAGATGCATAAGAGATTTTTTTTTTTTTTTTTTTTTAGGCAGGGCCTCCCTATGCAGTTCAGCCTGCCTTGAACTTGCTTGTGTAGCCCAGGTCTGCCTTGAATTCATGGTGATCCTCCTGACTTGGCCACCCAAGTGCTGGGACTACAGGTACGCACCACCACACCTAGCTAGAGATGTTATAGAAGTGGGGGGGGGGGAGAAGAGGAGAATACAGTTCCAGGTATGGTGATGCACACCTGTGACTCCAGCACTGGGGAGGCAGAGGCAGGAGGATTGCTGCAAGTTCAAGGCCAGCCTGGGTTATAGAGTAAGACCTTTTCTCAAAAAACAAAACAAAGCAACAAACAAAGGAATGAAGAAGACAAGCCCAAAGACCCTGCAGAAAAAGAAAGTAAAAGAAACAGGGACGGGGGCCAGGGAGATAGCTCAGTAGAATAAGTGCTTGCTTGGCAAGTGCAAGGGCCTGAGTTCAATCCCCAGTTGAAAAAAAGAAAAGAAACGGGATTATTGAGAGATAAGAGGTACAGCAAACCAAACCAGAGGCCTCAAGTGAGAACCTGAAAAGCTTCCCAATACTAACCAGTCAGCAATGATTTCAATCCTCATGTTAGGTGAAGGAAAGTTTTATCCCATAATAGAATACTGAGACATGGGCTGGTGAGATGGCTCAGTGGTCTAAAGCACCTACTTGGAACAAGTTCAGCAAAGCACAGGGACAGCGGTTCAATCCCCCAGCCCCACATGCCAGCCAGCCCCGCCCCCTGGTGGGCTGAGCTGCCCCCCCTTAAATTAAAAAAAAAAAAAAAAAAAAAAGAATAGAATACTGAGACAGATGACTAAAAGTTCCTATCTACCAATACATGTATCAATACATTAGGTTCCAGGGCTGGGAGCAGAGCTAGCTCAGTGGTACAGCACCTGTTTAACACGCGCAAGGCCTTGAGTCAGAGCCTGAGACACACACAGACAGACACACACACACACAGACAGACACACACACACACACACAGAGATGTGTGTAAGCGCATGCAAAAACCTTCCCTAACTCATCTTCCATTTTCCCCGGTGGTGCTAAGGACAGAGGCCCAGACCTCATACATGCTCTGCACATGCTCTACCACTGAGCTGATCCCCAGCTTGGGGCTGTCACCTGACTCTTTAGAACTCCATGCCACTTAACTTTTTTATTTTTATTTTTATGCAGAACCGGGGATTGAACTCAGTCCCTTGCACTTGCCAGGCAAGTAACTGAACTATCTCTCCAGCCCCCATTTATTTATTATTTATTTAATTCTTTGTAGCTTTTTTTTTTTTAACGGTACCAGGGATTGAATTCAGAATCCTGCGTTTGCTAGGCAAGTGCTTATTCTACTAGCTATCTCCCCAACTATTTTTTTTTGTTTGTTTTAAACAAAAAATTTTTTTTTCTTTATGATGGGACCAGGGATCAAACTCAGGACCTCGCACTTGCCAGGTAAGCACTTATTCCACTGAGCTATCTCCCCGGCTCTACACTGTAAACATATTTTTATTTTATGGTACTGGGGATTGAACTCAGGACCTTGCATTTGCCAAGTAGGTGTTTATGCTGCTGAGCTTGCGCCACTTTAAAAATAGATGAAGGGAGGGGCCAGGGAGATGGCTCAGTGGAATATGCGCTTCCCTGTCAAGCGCAAGGGCCTGAGTTCAATCCCCAGTTCCGCAAAAAAAAAAAAAAAAAAAAAAGATGAAGGGGGGATAAAAAATAGATGAAGGGGGCCAGGGAGATAGCTCAGTAGAATAAGTGCTTGCTTGGCAAGTGCAAGGGCCTGAGTTCAATCCCCGGTTCCGCAAAAAAAAAAAGTAATAAAAATGGATGATGTTGGGGCCAGGGAGATGACTCAGTAGAATAAGCACTTGCCTGCAGCACCAAGGGTCTGAGTTCAATCCCCGTTTCTGATGATGTTGCCAGGGAGATAGCTCAGCAGTATAAGTGCCTGCCTGGCAAGCACAAGGTCCTTTGACCCCCCCAGTACAAAAAGAGTGCAGTTCAAGGGCCTGAGTTTAATCCCCGGTTACACACACACACACACACACACACACACACACACACACACAAATCATCCTGCCTTAGACAGCACATACATTTGGGCTGGGGAGATAGCTCAGTGGAATAAGTGCTTCCCTGGCAAGTGCAAGGGTCACAAATTTGAGATTAGCCTGGGCAACTTAAGTGAGACCACTTCTCAAAATGAGGATGTAGCTCCTTATTCCCTACGTTCAATCTCCATGGCTTCTAAGTGATTGCCCCCACTTCTGTATCTGTTGTGTGGAAGACACAATAGTCTTGGGACTGAGCCAGGCTGCAGACTGAGTTGCACGGACAGCTCTTCCTTGGCTGCCTCTGAGGTCTGCCCGTGAGCTCCAGGATACTCAAATTCCAATGCAAAGTGCAAAATGTATTTGCATATAATGTTCACACAGCTCCTGCTTGCTTTAAACCAGCTCCACATGATTTATAATATCCCATGCAGTGTAAATGCTACATTTACAGTAGTTATACTGTACTGTTTGGGAAATGAAAAGAAAAAAAAGTCTGAAAATTTTCAAGGGCCAGCCAAATAGCTCAGCAGATTAAAGCACCTGCAAGCAGGAGCAGGGTCCGGGAGTTCAATCCCTGGGCCTGCTATGTGGGTGTGCTGAGATGGCAATTGAGACTGGGCATGGTGGCGTGCCTGTAATCCCAGCTCTTGGGAGGCTGTAAACAGGTGGATCAGACTACAAGAGTGATCTAGTAGTGAGACCCTGAACACCCTGTAGACCCTTCCCTAAAATACAAAAAAAAAAGGAAAAAAAAATTCACTATTGGTTGGATTCATGGATTCAGGGCCCAAGGACATGGTTCTCTGCTGGCACCAGCTCTCTCCTGCTCTGGCGCAGTGCCAAGGGCACACCCAGGTGCCTGCCCTGAGCACAGGAACGTTCAGGTGGCAGCACTGGCCATGGCCACTCTAAAGGCTACTCCCACTCACCATTTGGAACCAGGAGAAGGCTTTTCACAATGCTTCTGAGGGGGCCAAGGCTGATCTGATTGGTGGTGGCAAATTCAGAGAGCTGAGCCAGAAACCTTTCCACCTGCAGAGGAAACAGCACAGAGCAGGCCTCACTCCGTAAGCTCCTCCAGCGCACAGGCATTGATGGGCAGGACTCTCCTTCTCACACATACTTTACCTCCTTGGGCTCTGTCAGAAACTGGAAAAGCACTTCTGTCAGCGCTGAGAACTGCTGCAAAGAGAACACCACAGAACATCAGCACAGCCTCTACTCCTGGCTAGGGCCAGCCCTCCCCTGAGAGATCCAGGGCGACAGCAAGAGCAGGCTTGACACTTGCTTCTTCCTCTGGTTGCGTGTGTATGTTTCCGGGTACTAGGGATCGAGATACACTTCCAATCCCTCTCTCCCTCTTTCCAACTTACTCTGCAGCCCAGGCTGGCCTTGAACTTGCAGCAATCATATTATACGTATGTGCTACCACATTCAACCCTCTAGTCCTTTCTCTACATTTTTTTTTTTTTTTTTTTAGAAGCGGTATTTGAACTCAGGCCAAAGCGATTGCCAGTGAAGCACTTATTCTACTGAGGCACAGCAGGCCGGGGATCAAACCCCCTCACCCCTTCTTTCTTCCTTCTCTTCTTCCCTTCCTTTCTCTCAAGTTTTTTTTTTTTTTTTTTCAT